CCTAAATACTGCAGCTGGAAAACAATTAGGCCACTAGAGAATACATTAGGAAAAAATATTGATTTGGTGGAATTGAGGTTTGGTGTTAGTGAGTTTGGCTTTGTTAGTGTTAGGGAAACGGCCCTTGTTGTGATCAAAGCTGAACTTGAACCAGCTTCAGTCCACTTCTGCCACAGACTCTGCTTCTCCCTGACACTGTTCTGATAGTCTGGTAATGATTTCTGTAGACCAGCCTGCAGTCATCAGCTGAGGAACTGCTAGGTTACCCAATATCATAGTCTGTTCTTGTAAAAGATTGAAAATAAAGTATTCCAAGTAGAAGCTGCTGTTCTCAAGTATTGCCTTCTTTAAATTCACTTGGGAGACCCTCAATTTCTGCTTCTACAGACACATTGCACAAGTGCATCTCTTTATGCCCCAGACAGAGATATAGGACTTCTCACAGATTTCAAGTGTGTGATTGCTCCATGGATTTTCAGGCCAGAGAGGCTGTTGCACTGATCTAATCAGAGCTAAATGCATAGCACGGATCAGGAAACCAACTACTTCCTGCTTCAAGTCCAGCATCTGAAGTTGAACTAGGATCTCAGTTTTTAGAAAAACACACTGCAGTGCAAGATGAAGTTTAATTGTCTTTCAGGAGAAAAAAACTCACTAGAGCTTTGGGTGGCTTGTTCCAAATAGTAACTTCATCCAGTGGTTAAACAGGCCTAGTATTTCTACATGTAATCTACCTACAGCTTACAACTATTAGTTTCCAATCAGCTTTTTATACCCAAGATTGTAATATCCTCTGTTATCACATGCCTATCCTCCTTATCAGTATTTACAGACCATGATTAAGCTACGTCTTAGCCTTCTCTTTAATAAACTAAGTCCCCTGAGTCTTATAAAACATGATCTCTGATTGTTTTCTTATTCTCTCAGATACTTTCTAAATTGTGCCGATTTCTAAACTTTCTTCCTTGAAGAACAGGGATTTTAACCAGACATGCAGCATATCAACAGTTTTTGCAACAAACAATGACAGCTATTACATGACTTTCTGTAGCAAAAGAAGGAAAAACAGAAAAAAGGAAGAAGTCACAGAATGGAAGGGAATAAAGAATGAATGTCTTAAAAAAAAGACAAAAGAACAACGGAAAGAAAATGGAGAGGGAAGGAAAGACTCTAAAATAGGATGAGGTAGCAGAGAGATAAACAAACACTTACTGAAGTAGAAGCTCGGGAAGAAGGAAGAGGTGATGGACAGACCATGCAAAGCAGTAGTTGTTTGCAAGTATGCTTCTGTAAGTTTATCCTGTCAGTTCCCAGAGGAACTGACACTGGATTCTCCTACCTACCCTTCAATTATTTCCTCCTATCCTCAATTATTTCAGGCAATCAGGGATCTCCAATAGTGACGGCTGTGGTTAAGAACAGAGAGAACTGTGTGCAGAACTTTTTGGAAGCAGAGCTCATTAGCCTGCAGGACACCAAACCAACTGACAGCCTCCCCAAACCCACCAGCTGTGATACAACCGAGCTCCACAGCACTGGGACTGCTTTTCTTCCCATCCCCCGCCCTGGAACTACCTGCCTTGCTTCAAGGCCAGCACTGGAGGACTCAGAAGAAACAAAAGGCACCCCGACACAAAGCACACATATGGAGCTCTGGGCTCCAGTCATCAGGCCTGGGACATCTGTGGCTTTCTGAGGATGCCTGCATGTTCAAGTAATTAGACCAAGGCCAGCTGTCCCCTTGTCATTCTTCACCCTTTATGCTCCCATTGCTTCTACTACCACTGTCTGTCCAAATAATGGTTTGTCTGATGGATCACCAAAGTGCAGGTTTTTTTGTTGTTATTTATTCTTTGGAAGGCAGGAGTGGAGGACAACTGGTGAGACAGTAAAGAGGAGAAAGGACTCTTCTAGGTATATCCCATGAGACACCTCAGTGTTTCCAGATGAGCTTTTGCCATATCAGAGGAAAGATTTGCTTTAACCTTTATATTCTGAAGTTGTAAACTCCAAATGCTTGTACTGGTACTGAAAATGCAACCATCAGTAGTGAACCTGGCTGCTCAGGAAACCTTACTGCTTTATAGACAACCCAGCTATTCTGGGCCTAATTTCCCGGTCAGTGATCCAGATGTAATTCAGGGAAATTAATGAACCATATTTCAACCTCGAGATGCTCCGTGTAGCACAATGCTTTCTGAAATCTTTCGTGCCAATTTGTGCTAGAGCAAGCTAGAAGTACTGTGGGACACAGGTCTCCACATCAGTGGGGCTTCTGCTGAAGAAACCCAGTGAAGCTTTTGCCAGCTGAGGGAAGGCAGGAGCAAGAACAGATCCAACCCTTTTCCCTCAGCTGTGAAATTACATATGTAGCTTTGCCCCAAAGGCAGGATCCCAGAGAGGCCCAAGCTGGAGCAGGAAAAGGAACACAGCTCCCCAGCCTGTGTTTAGCAAGGCACGGCATGACAAAGCAAAAGGCTGTGTGTGCACTGAGCAGCCCCATCCCCTGACAGGGCAGCGAGTGCTTGGATGATACATTTACTGCAGCCTGTCTGCATCGTGCCTGCCCGTGTAGCATCTCCATAGCAGCAGTTCTGCTAATTGAGACCAGCTGCTTCCATTCCAAATTCTTCTCTCCAGAAATATCGATACTACAACGTTATGATTAGAAAGCACTTTACCAAATGCCTCTCAATTCTGCACAGCTCAGATGAAGAGCAGCTGCAGAGAGAAGGGACAGTTCCCAGAACATACAGAATAAAACACTGCAAAAACACTGGAGAAATGGAGGCTACAAGAAGCAAGTCAAAACAGAATAATGATGATAAAGAAAGCAGCCGGCTGTATATGCTTCTGCCTGTCACTTTAGATGTTGAAAGGACCGTGAGCAGACTTTTTCCTTATGCTCTAGGATAAATGGCCACAGCACTGCACTGTTACAGCTTCATGTGGCAGGTGTGCATGTTTGTCAGATCCAGCTTTTCTGTACAAGGAAGGATTAAAGCAAAATCCATCAATCTGGGCCTGGCTTGGAAGAGTAGCTGTGGTCTTGAATCATTTGGCTCTGGGAGCTGCTCTGCATAGCCCACTGGCAAAGAAAGTCACTGGAACTGATAAGCTGGTGGGAAGACTTGCAAAGTAGGAATGCCACCACACCACGATGACTTGGCTTCACTGTTGGCTATGTCCCTGTGGCTGCTGGCTCCACACAGCAAGCTGTCAGCTGGATGCTTCACAATGGTCACACTGGGATTGCCAAAAGCTGCAAGCACTTCTCCCCTCCAGCCAGACTGGATTAAACTGGCTAACAGTATTCTAAATTCACTTAGAAGTCTCAGGCCCTGTCTGTGACCACCAGGCACAGGGCTTTCCTGAAAAGACATCTGGTTACTGAATTTATGTAAGAACTGGGCAAACCACTTCAGTCCCATCTGTTATTCCAACCTCCTGAGTACCGAGAACAGAATCCTTGAAAGAGAAAAATCTCACAAAGAAGGGTCTGAAAATGAGAACTCTGATGCAACGTGTAATTTCCTCCTGAGAAAGATGCTGTACAATCTTACAGAAAACGTGGCACGCTCCAGCATGTGGCTGTGTAAACAAGGGCTAACACACCGTTTCACTTCTCAGATTTCATACTACAACTGAGATAATGCGACACAGCTAAAGCAGAGAGATCGCTTTGCTATGCCAAGTGATCTGACTCCTACTCTGAAAAGCAGTGAGGTAAATCAAGTGTTTCCTATAAATACCAGACAGTTTCTCTCACCAAACAAAATGCTCAAGTTTTTCAAAAATATTCCTATTACTTTGTTCTGGGATATATTCAGTACTTAGTGTCCATTCAGATTTTACCATTTACACACAGTTTTCTTACCTATTTCACTTTCTAACTTTTGGTATATATTATAAGTCTGTTTGAATCCACAGGACTGCAGGAGAGGGAATACATCAATGAAATTCCAGAAAGATAAAGTCTGAAGATGTTACAAGTGAGTATAAACTTTCAAAATCCTTGTCTGAAAAAAATATAAACTTACATTTTTTGTTTAACTGACTGCATATTAGCTTACACTCCATTTTCTTTCTGCTCTAAGTAAAGTTGCTATACTTACTTGTGCTGGGAAACAGCTGACACAGAAGTCCATATGGGAAACAGGAGTGTAAAAATGAGTTTATATAGAGAAGCTCTGTGTACTTATATAGGGAAGTCACCTCAATAAACTCAACGCTGCATGCAAACCTGTTAGCGTAATTTGCAGGTGACAGCATGACGGAATTCTGTTGATTGCAGTGCAGTTGTGTTCCTCCCCATCAAGCTGAATTTAGCCTCTCTAATCACCAAATCACATGAATAAACTGCTATGCATACATTTATTTTATTTTTAGGTTTCCAAGATCAATCAATGACATTCATGTGAGGAGAATCACAAGGCTAGGTAAAAAACAAACCAAACTCTTCTGAACACCAACACTCATTGGGACCATAGGGACAAACACTTTGATGGTTTCCAATGGCACAGCTCTGTGGATTGTAAACTGAATTACAAAAGCTTTAAGCAGTCTTGGACAGTGGCACATCAGATGATAGAGAAGCCCTGCAGCAGAACAAGCAGTAGGAGTATTCAAGTAACAGATCCACTAGCCCCTGTTAAATCTCTTCATACTGACATTTCTACACCTCAGCCTGCAATGTACCACAATGACACTGTTGTAGTGGTGAAAGTCAGGTGCCCAACATATACTGGCCCCAGCAGAGAAGCACCAACTCTGTAGCTGAGTGTTTATTTTGTGCACAAAGCACAGGCATTCTCCCATTTCATTTCAGCTGCCCTCGCCTCCCCCATAACTAAATTATTGTTATTATGCTCTGCATAATCCTAGTACTGACAGGGATGTTTGTTATACATAATTAAAGATATTAATTTTGCATGGAACAGAAGACACAGAGTCAGGAACTTAATCTTTTTTTTTTTTTAAATCTTCCATTAGAAAATTACCTTCATTAGCACCGACTCACTGAGCTTCTCTCTGTTGACAATTTTTATCGCGACCTTCTGACACGTGACACAGTGAACCCCCAACTTCACAAGCCCTGCAGGAGACAAAGCAAAATAGAGGTTGAGGTTAGTTGTTGAAGTTTTTCCTTTTAGAACACCATCCAGCTGTTGGCAGCTTATATGCAAACAAATTCCCATTAATACCTTCTCCAGCCAGAAAAGGTCTTGTGAGTAAAGAAGACCCTTCAGCCCACACTGTGACCACCTGGCAGTGAAGCCATCAACATCGTTGATACTCCTGCAGTTTCTGCCACTAAAACTGTGGTTTTGTTGAAGCACTGTAGCCCAGCTCTCACCACTCAAAATGTGTTCTGCCAATAAGAAGTTCTGGCAATTGAACCACACTGGACTAAGGGCTTTTGCTGACACCTGACATCAACAGAAGTTTGGAAATCAACAAAACTAGATGGTCAAATGTTTGTAGTGTAGACATGGCTTTTAGATTTCTCTTGCTCCTTCCAAAGTTTCCATGATCACAATAAAAAGACACAATTATGGCTTCCCTTACTGTTTTAACATACCCTGCTGGATAAAGTTAGTACTGTGATGAATTCCATTGTGGTGTTGAGGAACATCAGCATATGCTGCTACAATTCTAAGTTCTTGTTTGTTATTATTTACTGTATTCTTGTCCTCCAATAAGACAGAGTGCTGTTAACTGATTATATTGGCAAGAGGATATTGATATCTCTGACAGGATTAGGATGTCTGAACTATCATCAAAATATGGAACACCAAGACTTAAAAGAAAGAAGTAACATACAACTTGCATCTAAGTCTGGTGACTTACATGAAGTACACTGAGATATCTCCCACAAATGAATTTAAGATGGTCCCTTGAGCTCAACTCTACTGCCATTAAGAAAATTTGTAGCTGCAAAAGTTGTACTTCATAGGTTATTCAAGTGAGACCTTGTTTGCTTCAGGTTTTACTCTTGTCTAACATGCACATACAGCACAACACCTGATGGGCTGGATACCATCCCACTCCACACACTACATGCCAAATTGCCATTTAGGTTAATTCAGTTATAACTGAACTGAAAAAGAAATGGCACGTCCCCAGTGTCACTAAGACCTGCTGCGTTTTGCAGAGCATTTATAAACAATGACATCAAACAGCAGAAAAAAGAACTAACTTTGTTTCCAGCTCCTAGGCTAGGTTGCAGTTAAGAAACCAACCCCATCCCCTAATGCAAACCACAAAGCCACACAAGTTGCTTTATGTGGAATTTGAACACAGCAGATTTTCAGTCCAGTGAAACACAGAACTTGACACGTCTTACTGAGGGACAAATGGATTATTGCCTTACTACAAACTAGGCCCAATTAAGTGAACTAATTTCATCAGGGACTTCAGCAATCTTCTGCAGATACTTGTCCATCCTTTTGCTACACAGGTAATCATAAATTTGGAGTTATTAATCACTGGCTATTATGTGGAGAAATAAACTCTCAACTTGCTTCCAGTTACACCTCTTTTATAGCATGCTCATATGTTCTGGATATTTCTAGTCCCATAATTTCTCAGTTTCATCTGGTTAAACGCTGACATCCTCACTTTCAGCCACGACATAAACAAGTCACAAAAATTAAGAATGCAGTGCACTGACAAATCCATTAGAAACTGTGTACAGCAATAGCATGTCCTCTGCCTGCAGCAACCGAGAAACAGAGCAGGGGCAAGATGCTGTGATGTCCAGCCACACTCACTCTTCTGCCTGATTTTTAAACATTTTATTTGTAGTATTAACCAAAGCACTTCTGGCTCTATGTTGACTGCTCAGAGCACCTGCAGCCTTATGATGCTTCTTCCCTTTGGCTTTGTTGTGTGTTTGGAGAGAGGCTACTTGGCACCACGCTGCTGAAAGAGTGAGCTGGTTCAATCTGTGCCGATTGCTTCCTTCCTGCTTCCAGGACAAACCACAGCCTTGCATCACTCCTGCAGCACAATGACAGCACTTTCTACATTGCTCTTGGTCACACTTTCAAATCTCAGCAGAACTTCTAGCTCAGTCCTTTATATCTAGACTGCCAGCATCTGTGGCACTGTGCTGTACTGTAATGTGGCATGGGCCAATTATTTTCAGAGGTCATAATTGACACAAGGGTGAGAAACAACTGCTCTCTAACTGGTTCCTCACTAGCTATATACCAGGGTCTGATTTCAAAGCTTGTTGCTCCTAAATCAAGACATCTGCCCAACTGAATGTGGCTGATTTGTAAACTATTTTTCTTTTTTCCTCCCCGAAGCACCCTCTCATTGAGCCCTAGAAGGGTTTAACCACGAACTTCTGGGGCACTGTCATGCTGCGCAGGCAAGCTTCACAGTGTCCTCTGTCCTTGTAGCTATTAACCTACCACAAAAATTCAAAAATTAAGATTAAACCATTCTGTTTACTCCAATAAAAAGTTAACGAACTGTGAGAAGACACCAAACACTTTGCAAAAATAAAACTGGTACCGAACCACACTGATTTTATATTGAATTAATTTCATTGACCTCAAGAAATCATTCTTGATTTATGCCATGGTATCAAAGGGCAGAATGAGAAAACATATGTGAGATTTAATGGATCTTTCCTCTTCTCCTGATTTGCATTTTAAAAATCAAGAAAAGAAATGCACTGTCATTGCTGTCTGTTTTGTGGAGATAGAAATTTTAGACAACCCTCTGAACAGCCCAAGACAGCACTTTTTACTGTACTAAATTCACTGAATGTAATTTTAGGATAAAAATAAAACATGTCACTATGCCTTGCTTCCTCCCTTCTCCCCTGGCCACTTCCTTTTGACATTTGCATGCCAGCCTAAGCAGAAATAAAAAAAAAATAAAAATCCCTGTTGGTAAGTCTATCTATAGGATAACACCCTCTTCTCCTGCTCCTAAGAAGAAAGCCTAATTGAGCTGAGGCAGGAAGGGTTTGTCCTCAGGACTTCTGTTTCTGTCTTCTAATTTCAGTCAATTGTGCAACTACTGAGAGATGACTTAAATGTGGATTTGAGATCCTGTGGGTTTCTGATTCTTAAGAACCCCTTTCACTGACACAAACCATTCAAGATGTATTATTTATCTAAATAATAACAGACCTTAGAGGGAAGCAACTATATGAATAAACTGCTGAGCTGTAACTGAAATAATGGAAGTGGCAGAAATGCCTGCTTGGAAACAAGTGCCCAAGGTGTGTTTACAGGGTTGTGGAAGAGGTAGAGCATCTTCCATTTTTTCCCTCTTCTGTACATGCAGCTGTTAATAAGCACTTCAAAAACATATAAATCCTTCTCCAATACAAATGTGTCAATAACTTAGGTACTTATTTGCAAAGCTTATCTACACAGTCAGGCCAGCACAGGTATGTGTGTCTTCTGCAAAGGAAAACAAACACAGCTGCTGCTGCTGCAAGGATATTTTGACTGGCTTGTCTTACAGCAAGTCTGCCAGGCAACAAATAGAGCTTGAACTTCTCCACTTCATGAGCAATTAACCCCTCAAATGCAAGCAAGTAACCTTTGTGACTGCTAAAGTTAACTCTGGTCTGTCCTGACAGAAAATCTAAGATGCTGTGGGAATCAACTGCTTGAAGTTTCCCTCCACCACCCACACAGCTGTCACATGCTCACTGCTTCAGGCACACCTCAGATCTCCATCTATAGGTCATTCCTGGGGACTCTGGACACTGATATCCTGGGGCTTTCAAATCAGTTTTTGCATCCAATGAACTGCAAACATCGGGCTGCTTTTGATCTTAGCCACTGAACTGCATCAGAACCAGCCCTATAACAGCAGTTTGGGGAGTAAAGAAGAAAACATGAACACTCTGGAAAGCAAGGGGATGTGTAAGTTAACGCTGTCTTTTCATCACAACTAAAAGCCACAATTTGGAAACCAATGAGCATGAGAACTCCCAGATGACACGAAGATGTCACTGAAGGAAGAAGAGCAAAGGGAAGTGTACAAGCCTGACACAACCAAATGCAGCAGTGACCTGCTAATAACCATGCCTGTGCACTTTTTTGCTGGCAAACTCCCACTCTGTGGGTGCTTACAGATACACAACCAGTTTTTGAAAAAGACAGGAGCTTATGTGATGAGCAAGGGACAGATTAAATCAGCTGGAAAAGTGGACAGCCCATCCTGAAGCAGTACAGAGAGAAGATTCCTCTTTTACCCAAGAAGAATGTTCTGTGGGGATGGAGAAACAAAAGCTTCCCTCCAGCTGAGACAACTTATTCACTGTGAATCCATGCCCACAGCAAGTGGCTGATATTGTAACTGGCAATCACCTCCAGGACTTTTCAGCCAACGACAGGATTTCAGAAGAGACTCATTTACTTTTGCCTTGCATTTTGTGCAGCAATTTTCTCTAGAAGAGACTGAATAAAGCATTAAGAGTTCGGAGCTAGTGCTATTTGATATGCATTTTACAGTTGTGTAAACAGTAGCATCTTACTAATGATCCTGTTATTACAACTCTTCATTAGAGAAAGAAACATTTTAGGAACAAGAAAGAATGTTTTCAGTACTATCCAAACCTGAAGTCTGCCTAAGTCACCAATCTGAAACAAATGATTGTTCTGAGCTAGAGAGTAATAAATAATGAAACACCACTGTTGTTTAAATGCAGCACTTACAGTATATTCATGGTCGATGATGTTTCCAGTCTTTCAGAAATGTTAAACACAAGTAACTTGATATCCTGACTTTTAACCATGAGACAAATAACAACTCGACGAAGTAAAGGTACACTTGCTATATTTAACACATATGATTTTTTCCCACTGGTAAATGGAAGTCTTTTGTTTTCTTTTAAAATAAAACCAACCTAAAATAAATTTCTGCAGTAGGAAAACTAAACACTGATTTCAGAAGATCATCTGCACACACATGTTGCTGCCTCTTCACTTCAGAGTTCATAGTCAAAAACCTTAAAAAATCCGAGAGGAAAGCCCTGGTCTGGCCAGAAGTGTCTATTTTGGCTGGATGAGCAATTAAAGGAATGTCTAGAGAGAAATATCACTCCTCTTTTAACATGAG